TGCATCTGTCCTGCCACCAAATTACTGCGGCACAGCTCTGCTGTCCCGGTAATGTCTTCCACTCTCATTTGATCGCCCAGGCTGTGCGATGGAATTGTTTCCAAACATTGTCAGAAATTGAAGGCTTTTATGGCTCAAGTATGACGTATTTGTATCCATTCTATCTACTGAACCCTTTCCATCCATTGATCCCATTCCCTCTATTAAACTTATTTCATCCATTGAACCCATTCCAGCTAGTGAATTCATTCATGACTGTATAGCCCAAAGGAATTTAAGCAATTCAAACTACTCTTCAAATTAGATGATGCACTAAATTGTATCTGTCAACAACTAGAAGTTTTGTCTTTATGACTTCAGTTAGTGCCGGTGAGGCAATTTTTTATTATTTTGGTCATGTATCATCAAATTTAAGCGCGCTACTGAAAAAATTTGTTGATGCGGATTGAAACAAAAAAATGCTCGTTATTGCCAAATGCTAATTATTCACCATTATGCTTATTTTAATTATTTTCATTTTCACTGCCTTATTGCAAATATGACTAAATTTTCACGTTCTGGATAACATGTAACATGTTTTGCTTATTGTCTTTGAGCATTAATTTTCATTTGTTATTTAATCTTTGTTTACGAAACACCTATTGATTGAGACTTTTCAAATTAGTTGGTAATTAGTAATTCAAAATTAATTAGAACACCAATAGCTTATTTTTTCTTCCAATGTGTATACGTTCACGGCTAGACCGTTGCTATAAACACAAAGCTGAAAGTTTTTGTTTTTTTTTAACTTTTTTAACACGGGAGAAAAATGACAGGGGTTGTACTCAAGATGTATTCAAGTCGAAGATTGATGCACCAAATATGAGCATGTTTACTAATGTAAACATTTAAGCATAGAGATGTATTATGCACATGTCACACATAAACCTTCATGCCAGCTTCCAATCAAAAACTTTTGCACAAACTTTAAAAACAAACGCAAACAAATTAACTCGAGTAAACTTCAGTTATTTATGGCCAAACATTCTGTTCTTAACGAATCGCCTGTAAATTGTATGAATAAATGTTTCGATTCAATATAAGTAACAATTTCCTATGGAATTTTAGTACATATAGAATCTTTTTTCCGGGTTTTGAGTGCATTATACGAGATATGGCTTTTTCTAGTTTGATAACAAATAACTGAAATTTTCACAAGGCTGGTTATATTTTAAATCCCCTTCAGAAGATCATCTAAAACATTTTGTTGTTTATATGTCAAATGAGACTTGATTTTCCTACTGCAGACTGAAATCCCAAAGAGGCAGTATTTCTCGCTAAGAGTCCTATACACAAATAGAGTTCTACCGCAAAAGCTCTCCTCATACTTTATTCGTACTATTAAGAGCATAAATTTTTAAGGAAAAAGTCTCTACAAATATTACATTGCGATCATCTATTTGTGCAAAATTCACATGCAGAATTCACATTTAGCAATACTTGCCATTCATGGCGGTTATAGTTGTTTTTAAGGTAATGAACTAATTTCTTATTGATAATAAACTTCTATTTGTTCACCCTAATAAAATGTAGGAAGTTTATGTCTTACTATTCAAACCTTAAAAATTCGAATTAAGTCAAATATTAGCAAAGTGTCAAGTAAACAAGTTTTTATGTTGCTTGACGCCCATTGTACTATGTTAAACATAATTCGACTGAAGATTTCGCATTACAACATTTCAGGACAACACTGACTTGAATCTCAAAATCAGTAAATAATTTATCTACTCATTATTTTAACGTGAAGGCAAGTTGTATCAAAATCATGCAAACTAACAACTCCTCCTTACCATACATACAAATTTTAAACCTACATTCAGCCGAAAAAATATTTGTCGTCCCAATGAACAAATGGTTTCTTAGCGCACAATAATTTCCTGATGACTGGACCATAGAATATTTTTTCAAGTGCGCCCATTAATTGTGCAAACTTATCGCGGTAATGATAAGCATTGACAATCACATATTGGTTAATATAATTACTTTGTTTACTTCAAGTCCGCCTAGGATTGAGTGGGGATAATTTTCAGGATCTTTCTTTAAATTTTAAAAATCTCCATTCATGACATAACGATCTGAGGAAAATGGTCGTTATTTTTTAATTTACTTTAATTTCAATCAATTTATACTATCAAAATTCTGCTGAACACAAAATTTTGAACACACTCTCGCTAAGTTATTGATATCAACACGAGAGCGCCTAAGATCGCGACCTAAATATGGATACAAATTGGGGAACGAACCTTTCATTGAGAAGAAACGATAATTACATTTGACTAATTTCATATAATGGAAAAATTGATATTCTGAACATCAGGTAATTTTTAACCAACTTCTAGAAGCGATTACGTCTTAGTGAACTCCCGTCGATCGAGCGTTGCAAGACAACGCAAACATGGCAAAGTAAGATGAAGCAGATCCTACTTCAATGCAGCGACCATCACCCGAAATTTGTCGATACTTAAAGTAAAAGAAATCTTTATTGATGAAACATCATTAAATATGTCCCAAAAATGATCCAATGTATATTTTATTGGACATCTTCTTTGATATTTCTGGGTATATAATAATTTTAATGAATCTCTTATTTTACATTAAAATTTACGCTCGGTTTAGCAATCCTAATATTATAGAAGAACTTTCATGCACGTACGTGTTTCTTTTTATCTAGAGAAAAGCTCATGCAGCAACTACTACACAGGCAGCGCGTTCCAACCCTGGAATACCTTAAACTTCGAGTTTTCCGTGACATTTTCATAATGGCCCAATTATGTATGTTTTATAAATTAGATTAAATTATATGAATTTAAATGCGGACATCGCAACTAAAACAATATTTATTTAGAGTTCAAGCCCATTTCCATTATGTACATTCGAGATATTTTTTAACATGATATTGTAACGATAGAACCAATTAGTGACAAGAAGTGCCATAGTTAGCAAGAGTGCATTAATTACGGCACAATGAAGGTTATTATTCAGTATGTACCTTAGATAATTGAAATATCATATTGCCTTGCGTTGTAACTCGGTAAATATATTTTATTTGGTTTGTGTTTAATTACTGTACAGTAAATAACTAGAAATTAATTTAATTATTTAATGTAGCGAACAGTTGGTTTTGCACGGTTGGAACGCCCCTGCAGTCACGCTAACATAACTATAGTTTCCCTTATGAGCTACGGACTACTCAAGTGGAAGACATAATGTATTATGGAAGCCAAGCTTTAGCATACAAGTGCTAGTCAATCGTGAATGGAAACTCTGGAAGCTCTCAGGGTTAAGGGAAGCCTTATTGTTTTATAATTAATGCGGTAGCTCATCTATTGTTCTGGGAGATTATTGCTCACTCTAATATCCTGGTGGTACGATGCTGCTAGTCCTTAATTATGTCTAACAAATAACCATCAATTTGCGACAACTTTTAATAATTTACATCTACGAGCGTACAATACGCTTTCGACGGCGCTGCTCTAGTACGGAGAAATAATTCTGCAAATAACAATTCGGAATGGCATAGATTCTTGCGATAAATTGAAGTATCAATTCAATTATTCTGCCATAAATAATCAACGGTAAGCATGCGATTAAAAATTCTCATAACCTGAAGGAGAATAGTGTTAGGAAAAAGAGCTAAAACTTCTATGGAAAATCGGGTAAGGTTAAATATGCCCCTGTTTAGGTTCAAAGAATTCAACTATAATTAATACACTCGAAAATGACAGACCAGGACTGCGACTCCCTTTAGCTGTAGCAGCTGCTTGCTATATTCTAGGTTCTTTTATTGTTGTTCACATTCTTGATGCTATTCCTGGTACATAAAAAATTTGACTCGTTAGGGCCAATTTCAGAGGTTGGATCGTCTAGGAATGGAAATGCGGGGAAAAAATCTCAGGGAAAAGATTCTATGCCAACTTTCAAATGAAGATTAAGAAAAATTCTACGCTCAAGTGGAGAAAAAATCTACAGTTATTATTCCGTACTACATTTATTGTGGAACCGACGAAAGTTCAGTTCAGACATCTAGACGTTAGAAGGCAACTGCTTGCTAAAAGATCTGCTAAAGAAGGCTTCCAGAGAAGCTTCTTGCTATGTATTCGTTCTGGCTTTTTTATTCTATTTCACTGATTGATCGCATAAACTTTTAATATCATTCACGTGTAGGGATTATCGCGTGCCCTAATTTAATCGCTGGCATCTCAGGAAGGCAAGGTCTTTCATATTAAGGTCGTGTCTTGTTGCAATATTCAACTTTCAACACGAGTTTAATTCAACTATTATAGCGCCGGAAGTTGCTGCACAGGAGCTCATCCTTGAAAAAAAAAATCCGCTGCGAGTGCGCATTTATGGTTCAACAGGAATCCTTAGTTTCCTGCAAGGCAATCAGGAGCACAATTATTCATTGTGCGCTCACGGGTAAGAAATATAAATGTATGGCTCCATTTCCAGCCTGAATAATGGTTCTAAAAATGTCAAAGTCTTCTTATTTTTATACGACTGAATGACGGGAATATAACGTCAACTGTCACAGTGAGATTGAACTACTGTTTAACGTCTTAGATGAAAGCTTCATATAGGCTACTTTAGATATTGTTAACTCCATTCGGATACAATATTTTGGCACTGTCATCAGAAGTTCTCGAGAGGTCCTATTCCATCGAATTCGAATAATAAGGAATATCCTACCTGGGAATCATCAGCCTTCACAGCGATTAGTTATTTTTCAGTGGAAAAATCTGGATGCGTTATTTGCTTCTCCACTCATTTTCAATTCATGATCGGAAAATTTCACTCGGAGAATTTCGATTTTCAAAATTATTGAGCAAGCCCAACTTGAGGCTTGATAATATGCATTCACTTTCACCCTTTTTTGAACACACGAAGTCACGCCTTTTCCTCGGCAGAATTCATTACGTACTAAATTCAGGTTCGTTTCAAATAATGTGGCAGGACACTTGAACGTTAGCTCATTGCCTGAATTGATATTCAGTCCATTTTATTGAAGTTGAAGGTGAGAACTTTTTGGCATTGAAAGATGAAATAACTAACGTTAAGAAGTCGTACGATGCAATTAAGATGAGAGGATAATAGATAAAAAGTGCTAGTGTAGAATTAAAAAATTAGCGAGATATAAGGAATAATTACTCCATATAGAAACTGATAACGAACATCCTAAAAGAAATACATTTTCTATTCGAAGATTGTCTCATACTTAAAATTATATGAAGAATTATAATCGTTTCCGCATTCGATGAGAAACGAGCATAAATACTAAAGTATTGCACATCATGCATATAATGCCTCTATTATAGCTCGTCGTTCATATCTTATGCCTATATTATGACTCATGATCACATCTGAGTAAATAACATGCTGAAACTGAGTCATAATGCCAAGAAAAACCTTCAAGACTCTTGTATGGAACAAGGGCAAAGAGGCAAACAATATTAGCTCGAAGAGAAACACATAGCCAAAATTTTAAATTTCTATTGTATAAAACGTTCCTGCGAAAACATGATAAACGCTTAGAAATTACGGAAATACCGTAAAATTTTCTTAATACAATTCTATAGATAGGAAGAAATAGGCAATTGTACTATAAAAGCAAGGTGAATGCGAGAAATTTTCATCGACTTATACCTTGATAAAATTTTTCAAAGTTCCTTACATAGAATTTGAATGATCCTACGAGATAAAATGACGAGATTCAGTGGCGCGCTCTCCCTCGGCTACAGCAAAATCTCCCTGAAGGGTTTCTGCCCAGGCCGCACGTGCCATTGGACCGTAGGCAGACGGAGGGGAGATCTTGGAGGAGGGCGAGCGGCCTCTTGCTAGATAAAGACGCCTTTGTGTGTTTCCTGCATCTCCTGTAGACTCAGACCCTTGGTCTCCGGCACGAACAGTAAGGTAAAGACCAGCGCCAGGGCTGCTAAAGACGAGTACAGCCAAAACGTTCCATAGAGACCTAGCGTTTGATCCAAATCTACGAAGCTTTTGACGCTCGCAAATGAACAGGCGTAGCTAACTGACGCGGCGAGGGCACCGAAACCTCTATGTTTCAGAGGGAACAACTCTCCGATGTACAACCAGCTGATTGGCGACACACCTAAAGCAAATGCGATTTCAATTACTAATATGCAGAAGAGGGGAACCCAGTCCGACTGTCTCCATTGCTGACGAGCAAACATATTCTCGTTAGTGTCCAGCCCTTTCAAGTACACGTAGCCCCCAAAAGCGGCGAGCGCGGCTGACATCAACATGTTTGAAAACACCAGAAGTGGTCGCCGACCTACGGTGTCAACCAAAGCTGATGACGCCATACCAGCGCATATCTGTACGAATGCTACAACAACAGCTGCACGATAAGGATCAAGACCGACGAAAGTTTCAGATAAAATTGGCACAGCGTAAAAGTTGAAAGCATTTGCACCACTGAACTTCTGGAAGACCATGAGTCCGCACGTGACGAACAGAGGACGGAGGAGGTCTCGGAAAGCAAGGGAAGGCGGCTCAATTCCTTCGTGTCGACGGAACGTTGCGATGTTTGCCTTCATTGTAGTGAGTTCCCGAGACACATCTCGGCCGCTGCGAAGCCAAGAAGGGTGAAACCGAGGCTTCAGTTTCTCTGCCGCAGTAAAGCAAATAACTCGGTGTTTCTGGTATGAGCAAAGCAGCAATGAAGAGGCAAGTTGGGGCAATGGCTGTCACGGTGGCAAGCTCCCTCCAGTTCAGAAAGGCCCCAAGGAGGTACGATAAGAGCATTCCAATGTTACTACTTAACTTGGACAAATTACACAAGCACCCTCGTATATCAGGGTGGGCGATCTCGCTTATGTAAACTGGGGTTACGACTGCAATGATCGCTGTGCACACGCCACCGAAGAAAGATGCTACGTAAAGCATGTAAACATTACTAGCCACCACCGTCAGTACCCAAGACAGGGCGAAGGGGACTGCCACCAGGCACAGAACTTTTTTCCTTCCATATCGTATGGACATTCCAGCGGGCAGTGATCCAAAGAATGCACCCAGGAGAGACAGCGATGCCACCCAAGAACCTTGATCCTGAGAAATAAAGATTAAAACTTATTAAATATTTCGCTAGGACCTATGCTACTCTCAGCGTAACACCGTTGAAGGCAAAGATTATAATAAAAAAATATGCGTAATAAATATTGGGCTAGTTCATCTAAACTGGCATCTCGCACTTTGCCAGGGAAGTCAAACATCCGAATTCAAATATTATTGATCCATACGTTTACGAATGACTGAATTACGAAAACACAGAATCTATTGAAATTCGCTATCATCGCATTAAAGCTCTGAAATAGTTTCAGATAATGTATTATTTTTACATAGTACACATTTTTTTATGTCATCCAAATTAATAAAATAATTCACATTACTACAGTTTATTAATCGTGAGTAGATTAATGGGTTAAATTTCATTTCTAATAGTGTCGGGATTAACCTTGCTTATGGATTATTCTTCTATACTACAATAATATTCACCTTGCTGATGGAGAAGTGCTGACCCTGAGCAGAGAGGGCGGCCATGGAGGCGAGGGCTGGCGAGGAGTAGCCCTTGCCGAGGCCGGCGCACAGCGGCCCGATCGCCACCGCTAGCGTCGCGAGGACCTGAGCATGGCAGCACTGACAGCCTCAAGCCGGCCGTCGTAACTTATTGCAAATACTAACTCCTATTTAACAACAGCCCATAACCGTCGGTAAAAACTGCTTGAAAATAGTCACTTCTATGGACCAAAAGCCTACAGTCGTGAGTCGTCGGGGAAAGCTGCTTGTAAACTGTCACTTTTATTGACAAACAACCTAGATTTATTTTGTGAAAACTGCTTCAAAATAATCTCTTCTATTGACCGTCAGAATGAAGTCGTCGGTAAAAGCTGCTTTGAAATAGTGAAGAAAAAGAAAACTAAACATGTAAAAATTGGATAAAAATGCCCATTTTGAAACTTCACATTTCACGAGCATTCCAGTTAACAAAAATGTAGAAAAATTCCTCCAAATTAAAGCAGTCTTCTCACAGCAATCAATCTGTGAAAAAATACAAACTCCCAAAATATCTCGAGGTTGACATTACCAAGAAACTCGTGTCGATAAGTTTTCGCATCACGCTCGTTCAAAATTCGAGGTTTAACATTCATTTCAGAATCCCCGTATAAAGTGTTAACGACTGGAAATAGCGTCTTCAAATCTTAACTTAGACGGATCTCTGTCACTCTCAAAATGAAATGGTAACGGGACAAATTTGAGATTTAAAGAGGACTCGATGTAGAGTAAACCAGAGCATGATAAAAAAATTATGACGCCGGGGCAAGAAGATGAAGATTGCTATTACCAATAACAAAATTATATTACTAAATCAATTAATCCAAATGACAGCATACGTTTAATGAAAGTCAATATGCTCATCAAGCGACATTCAATTCATTCGCAAAATGGAGGTTAAAATGAAAAACTACATTGAAATCGTGCAAAAATTCAATCTTTAGGAATATTTAACACTAAAACATAAAGTTTAGTAGTGGTGAAAGTATTGTATACCATTTACAAAGTATTCGATTACGAAAACACGAAAAGCAACTTCATGGCATGGTTAGGTTAATGTTTACCAACTGACACAAGAAGATTTTCAGTCTTCACCTTGACATTACAGTTAAATTTCTTCCCTCCCTGAAAATCGTGAATTAGGAGATTAAGTTACCAAGGATTCCCATGTCGAAGTTTACCATGGATATCCATGTCGAAGTTTTTCAAATACTTTTGACCATTTTGATGGATTGCGCCAACTTTGTCTTGCCTAAGCCAAGGAGTGTTCGTTACTTATCAACTTAGGTGATTCTATCGAGACCATTTGGGCTTGGGCAGAATGAATCGATAACTAGACAAGCTATTTTTACATTGATATGGGAGATAAATGATAAATTTAATAATATGACATTATAATCATCAGTCGTTCATTATTCAGAAACCCGAGGCATCGTGCATTTTAGTATTGCGTTTCAAATGCTTATTTATATAGTGTGTCGGGTTTGGTAGAAGAGATTCACCATTTAAAAATTTTTTAGTAGTTAGGACCGTCAGCTGGTATTTCCCGCAAAAAAAATTCATATGCTCTAGCTCCTATGCAGTTGTGGGATTAACTTCAACTGAAACCTATCAATTTTATACATAGTTAAACGATAGTTATCTGATAACTGTTACGGATCATTTTTAATTTATAAGGAAACAGTGTAACAAAAATCTTTACGAGAGCAAGCAACGTACAGAAAGACAAATACCTTGAGGATGGAATGGAAAAGTCAGAAGGGTTTACCAGTTAAAAAAATCGTTACTCGTTAATTGAGCATCTCCTAAAAAACTTAATTGAACGGTAATTTACCGAAGAAAAAGACGGCTTCAAAGAAGGAAGTGTAAGTCGTTACGAAAGTTACCTCACCTGTGTACAGTGTTGTGGAGTTGGAGACCTCATGTATATGAACTTGCTGTCGGGTGACTTTTTATTCATGTTTCGATTCTTGCAGAAACTAAAATTAAAATTAAATAACCTTCTTTTCGGTGGCTGGGACCGGTTGTCATCAGGCCATCGATAGTGGTTAGGAATTGTTTTGTAGTTCGTGTAAGGTGCACTCAGAGACGTTTCGTCGGTCTGGGTCGAAGTCTGAGTGACGTTCGATCCGATATGATGATGATAGTTGTTCATGCTATGGTTGTATGAGAGGGGCGAGTCAAGTGTTGTGTAAGGTCGGGAGTGATACATGTAAGAATTTGAATGATTCTCCAATGGATTACTCTTACTCGAATAATGACTTATCCTGTCCATTTCGGCGTGAGATTCATACATATCAAGATGCAATGATGTTGCTGGTCGGTACCTGAAGTCACCAAGTCCATATTCTTCTGACCGCCGTGAAGGTCTCGAATGTGAAGGATCTTGGCTCGATGATGAGATATTTTGATCTTGCTGTTCCTGGCTTGCTGTTCGATCAAATTTATAAACAACCCTGGATTTGGCAATGTTGCGTCCTTCTTTCAATATCCTGTATGCCTCATCTTCATCGGCTTCTGCGCGCTTTTGGGCTCTGGCATCTTCCTCTAGAGTTTTTGTGTGCAAAAAATCTTGGTAGGTTGTGGACGAGCGCTTCAGTGGTATGTCGACACTCTTGGCACTTTCAAGCGAAGAGTTTCGGCGATGCTTAAAATGTATTTCATACGGAGCATTGGCATCGTTTCCCTCGGCACCGTACCCTTGATTCTTGTCGTATTTTGAATTACTGTAGCTTCGAAAATTGAGAAGCCTTGAATCTGCTTGACGCTTTTTGAAACTTTGACTGTAAGATTCAGATTTTGATGCAAGCAATGGCGCTCGTTTGCCTGAAAACAATTCAGCAGTGGTTTGATATCTGCTAGAGATGACATTTTCTGGAGGATGCAACGAAGAAGAACTGCCTTGGAGAGACATATCTGGAATGCGACTTCGTGAATTCGGAGGAAGAGAAGAACGTTGCCATGAATTTTGAGCTGAATTTGGTGACCGAGGTCTGGTGCGAGCTGGGAGCGAAGACCTCTGCCAAGCCGGAGAAGTTTCTCTTGAAAGTGAAACTCGATGAACATTTGCACGACTGGAAGAACGATACTTAGATTCATCCTGATTGTTAGCCGAAGATCGATCAGGCCAATTTCTACTAGGGGACTTATGAGTCACATCTCGTTCCAATGACCGCGAGCTTGTCCTGAGATGAGCATCGTTACGTATGGAATCTTCCCGCATGCTTCTTGGAGAGTGAGGATCTCTGTAAGACCTGCTAGAAATATTCCTCTGGCTACCAAACGAATCGTAGATAGGAACGTTGTCTGCCGACAAATAAGGTCCTGCTCGCAGGTGAGATGACTGGTACTCTCGACGTCGTATTTCAGTGCGGGAATAATCGTTAGCTGCACTGAAATGTGCCCGAGTTTCCTCATCTTCTTCCTCGTAGACCCCAGGCAGCCTCTCTTGGTGGATCGATACGGGAGGCACTGGGAGAGACCGCTTGGGTTTGTGCGACTGCATCGCGGCCTCAATTTAGGAATAATTATTTAATTTTGACTGATTTAAAGCGGCTTACTTCGTTTCATGCGTCTAATCGAAACTTAATTATCCTCCTTTGTTATTTAAATATTTTTTATTTTGGAGATGGATTCTGCTTTTTTATTATTATCGCATTGCATTTACGAGAAGAGTATTTAGATTTTTAATTTAATAATTTTATTTAAAAAAAAAACATATATTTTGGGGGGGGCTTTTAGTTGTGAGTACACGTTAACAAAATTTTTCACAAACACCCTCTGAAAATAGATGAATTGTGACCTAAATTGGATCCATGAAAATGTCTGCCGTCAGACTTTGGTGGGAATACCGCCCTGAGTATCCTTGTCACGTTTTTCCTCTTGTATTGGCATCACGGGGCCATAAATTCGTTGCGTCTGAAGATTTCCCGGTCGGTCGACCGAAAAAACTTCGATGTTCACTATCGCTTTCGGTCGCAGTCCGAATTTGTTAGCAGGTGAACTTGTGCGAATATTTGATGCGAGCTGAAGATCGGATCAAAGTTCACTGCTGCCTGCAAGAAAGAGAAAACATGAGGTTATTGAAATACCGATCTAGTTTCCATACTTGTCAACATGCACGGAGTTTGCATTCGACAAATTGAGAAATATATAAGGCGAGCGAAACATTTTATGTTATATTTTATGTATATTTTCGTCAGTTATTTCAAAGCAATATCGGCTGTTCAGGCCCTCGTGTTAAAAGTTCATAAATAGGGAAAGCTCGTTCATTGACCCTTAATAAGACCGTGAATATTTTTGTGTACAGCTTGCGTAAGAAAATATAAAACATTCTTTACATTTCGTTAATTTGTCGTGATTATTCCCTTTGGTGCTTAAAAAATTAGTACAGAATTCTTAGTTTTCATGCACATGCTTAACCAAGAACATTCAAATTACACTTTAATTAAATATAGTTAAGAATATACATTATATATTATTTTGTCGTTAGATATTCGCAAGAATGTTCTTCTTTTCACACTTATATTACTAGATTTTAATATGTTCTTATCGAATAGTAAGTATATTCCTGATCCTGAACAACGCCATTTTTCCTGTCCTGTCAACGGCATGCAGGATCTCACAAGACACAACCGTCTCTCTAACTCTGGGACGAGTCTCTCTTCCGTGTCTCATGAGGTAATTTCCTGCGAAAGTCTGCAGTGAACAGCACCATCTACGACAGCTTGCGTGTTCGATGACATCGTCGTGACGGCACAACTTATAATTAATGAAGGGACCGCCGTATAATGCCTACATAAATCACCATCGCTTGCACTACATTGAGTTGATTGGGTGAGATAGCAGCGAGATTAGAGACCATCTTTGCAGTATGCATGGGAGCTTGAAAAATGTTATTTGCAAACAAGTTGTTGAAAACGTAATTTATTTGAGGCAGTAACTTATACGATGAAATTTGAGCTACGTCTAATGAAATTGGTGGGAAATGAAACAATTTTTAGGGTAAAAAAATTTCGATGTAATTCGTGGCATTTAATGACCCTGTACCCCTGCGTAGGTAAATATTAAAGTCTAAACTCCTATGATAAAGCTAACACGTTTTTGCATTTGTATTACGTACAAAATAAAGTTGGTGCAAATGATTTGCCATAAACCACTGACCTCAAAAAAAATAGAATATACTGTATTGTTGATTAACCTTTTCATGCACCTTCAGCTCCAGAGATTTGGGATTTATGAACGAATTCCGATTTGGAATTCGTTTAACAAAAAGTGATTTAGTTCCGTTCAACGAAAAGGTGATTTTAATTTTTAACTTTATTTTTAATTTTTTAGGCCGACTCCAGGATTGTTAAATTAAAATCCCCGAGAATGGTTAATATTTCGTTCATCTGTTTTTCTCCGCTGTTTTTCAAGCCATCATACTTCACCTAAATGAATGAATACTACCCCACTGCAACAAGACTATCATTATATTTATTGCCAGGCACGTTACGATAATCGATCACGAGTGATGCGAGCCTTCAACTAGGAGTTCATGTCGATGAATGAGGCAAGTAATTATAGGAGCGCTAGCGTCGGCTCACAAACAAAAGGTGAGTATAGCGAGTAGAATACCGTGCTTGTGAAAATAACATTTGGAAATTTTGCGCACATCAAAAATGAGCATATCAAGAGGGTGAGAGCACATACAGCTTCTCGCATGGTTGGTCTAATATTAGTTCAACTATGAATACATTAATTGCCACTTTACCAAGATAAACCCAGACAATTAAAGTCAAATTACTCAAGTGAATCACACCTCTACTGACCTGCTTGTATATACTGCGCCAATGACGCAGTTTGCTCGCCTGCTTCTGTGATAGCTTTTAATAAACAATGTTGGCTGTCAGAATAACGGGTTTACCAGATGGATAGTTTTCATGTCGTATGTTCTACATGTTGTTTCAATGTTTCATGACCTCCTAACGCTTCATACAAAGGTAATAATGTAAACCTTTTCATGATCAACATATGAACGCCCTATGTTATTCACGCTTGCTAAAATTTCCATAAATTGTGCGCATAATTCGTCGAGAACAACCGTTGCGGATTGTCATTAACTTCTCCACAGGTAAAAATGTTACTCATACCTTAATTTTCTCAACACTTTTCTAAGTTAAATCAGAAATGTACACCCTTTCTTTATATAAAAAATATTATCAAAAGACCAGACTGTGTTGTTTTTGCTCAACACATATGTTACGCAATTCAAAATTATTTTTTCAACAAAATCATATGAAGCTATAAGCTATCAACACTAAGTAATTTTCCAATAAAAATTGAATGTACTTTTCTCCACGTGCATCCAATAGACCAGAATTCAAAAGTATTCATTTAAAACTGCTGCAGCAAATAAAATGTAATGTCACTGGTGTGTTTTTATGCCAAAATAAGAAAAACTCCAACCTTTTTACCTTACATTTTCTAAAAGATTCCAGAAATTTTGGACCATTTCCCGGGACCTTGGGAGGCTGTCGCGACAGCCGTCAACGACCACGAGCTGCCCCAGTGACATCGTTAGAGGCGGTCATCCCTCGCGCTGAACCCTACCAGGTTTTTATTTTTTTATGCGAGTGAATTTTCCATTTAAAAAAAAATAAAAAATTCAGCGTTCTTTCATAGATATGAAAGGTTCTATAATAGAATGGTGCATACGTTCGAGGGCCTTACGCTGATCGCACATTTGTATTAAAGTCTCGTACCCAATTCGCAGAGTTTCTCACCTTGCAGAAAAGAAAGTTCTCTTGCCGTGGTTATTCCAGGCAGTGAATGAGTATTATGACAAAGATTTTTAAGTAAGGTTTAGGTGTATTGGTGACCAATACGCATGCTCTGCTTTGATTTTATTACCATTACTTTGTTTCTCATGCAAGATTGATATTCCATTCCTCACTTAAAACTGGGAGACTTAAATTCAATCATTTAAAATATGATTTTCAATGCGCTAATATCAGCAAACCACAAGCGCTAACTTTACTGCATAAATTCTTCATTCCCTTTTCTGTACTTCCACTCTTACCACCGTATTTTTTATGGCTCGTTTAAAACCTGAATACGATTTACCAAACAAGTATGGATCTATTTCAACATGTGCGTAATTTCAGTATTGTACGTTCACTAAAATAATTTTCTATGGATTCAATATCATTATTTTATTAACTCTTACAATTAGGAATTTTAACTACAGTACCTAAAATATCGAACCACGTTGTTAGACTTTCAATTTCACCTTCAGATCAATGCCACACATTTTTCTTCCATATAGCATAAGTTCCGATGTCACTCAATTCCATTGGAGCTAATCATTATCTAGAATAGATTTATCATTTCTTTTTCTTACTTATTTCCAGAATCTCGCATTATTTTTCACTCTTCCGCTATTGTTGTTCGACGTTCCTCGTTAATTATACGGCAACGAATCGTTGAACCTTTTTAATTTGCCGCCCGTATTTAGGCACAAAACGAAGCTGTTTTCCGGCCGCTCAAAAGCAAAGGGACTTGTGACGGAATCTTTTGATCTTTTCTTTGATGTTCACACTGACGTGATCACTTTTACTCGTCCTCTTCATGTTTCATTGATCGTAACTTTTCGTTAAACGCTCTCTATTCTTACTCTTTTCTTCGCCTGTATATCTAGTTTTACTCAATGTGTCACGTTATTTGTTATCATTCATTTATCATCATTCATCATTTATCACTATCACATTTATTTATCATCACTAATATTAATAATTTTTTGACCGAACATTGTTTCTCTGTTCATGTCGATTTCACATGATCTTTCTTATCCTCCTAATTTTCTCGTATTGATCAGTCG